GCTGAAGATGAAGAACATTCCTTCACCAATCTTGCCTTCGCTTTCGATGAACAGTCAGGACACAGGTTCAAAATTTAATAGCTCAACTGTTGTCTTGGACTGCCAGCCAGCGTGGACATTGTAAAGGCAAGAGAGGGTGGGAAGAATGTGATTTCTTCTTCACCCCAAGTGGCTTTATAAAACAGAAGGCCTTGAGAGGGAACGGACTGAGTCCTCCTCGAGTGCCAGCAGTACTGAGATTACACTGAATGGCCCTGGAGACTCCAACCACCAACAAAAGCAGGGTGATTTTTGCCCTCGCTTACGCAGAAATTCTACCAGTCAGACATCCGTGTTCCGCTCAGGAATCAATTTTTCAGAGGGTAATTGTCCAGGTGGGAATTGGCAAGGTTCGACTCTGTCCCTGTTGCACTGTTCTCTGTAGCTGAAATTCACCACCTGGAATTTGAAGAACAAACGAACAGCAGCAGGTCCCTGGTGAGCCTGGGACTCAGAGGCAGGCCTTTCTGCATAGAAGGGGGACTTAGCTGTCACAGATCCGGAGACTAATGACTCTATAAAGTGGCCTGGCATCGCCACCTGTGGCAGTTCTGTGGGTGCCTTGGGGAAGAAGCACTGAAATGACATGAGTGGGCCTGGATTCTGACCTGGGTCTTGAAATGCATGTGAAGGGTGGCGTGTACACGTGTGTGCGTACGTGTGTGTGGGTCTATGTGTGCAGATATCTGTGCCCCTGCATGTAGTCATGTTCATTTTCCAGGTGACAGCACCAGATCCATCCCCCTCACAGGATTGCCTGGTAGATCAAATAAGAAATGAGTAGATTAGGGCTCCCCAGAAAAGTAGAACCAATAGGATACAGGGACAGAGATGGAGATGAAGATGGAGATAAAGATGGAGATGGGGAGAGAGGGAGAGAGATCTACTACAGGGAATTGGCTCCAGCGATTGTACAGGCTGAAAGTTCCAAGGCCTGCAAGGCGAGCTGGAAAGCTGGGGACCCAGGAGAGCCCAGTGACAGCGTGCCTGTGCAAGTCCAAAGGCCTGAGCGAAAGGGGAGCCAGTGGCGAAGTTCCAGCCCGGAGGCTCAAGACCCAGGAAGACTTGACGTTTCAGTTCAAGTCCAAAGGCAGGAAAGAGCTGATGTCCCAGCTCGAGCAGCTGGGCAGAAGGTGTTCTCTCTTACTCAGGGAAGGATCAGATTCTTAATTCTATTCAGGCCTTCAACTGATTGGATGAGGCCCACTTGTATGTATGAGGGAGGGCAATCTACTCACTCAATCTACAGATTTAAATGCTGATCTCATGCAAGACCATCCTCACAGAGACACTCAGAGTAATGTTTGACCAACTGTCTGGGCACCCCACGTGCCAATCAACTAACACATAAAGTGAACCATCACAGTGGAGTCAAAGGCAGCATCGAGTACTGAAAGAACCCCTGTTTCTGGAGCCCAACAGCCCAAGGTCAAACCTAGCTTTATTACTTGCCAGTTATGGGATTTGTAGGTTACTCAGGCTCTCTGGGGCTGCCTCAGATGCCTCTTTGGTAGGATGAGGATAACGAGAGAGTCAACAATGTACTGACATGACACATAAAAGGTACCAAAGCATTTGCTGTTTTGGGTCCAAAAAAGTACGTTTCTTAAGGTGCAGTTTGTCTTTTGCATTCAATGTACATCATCATTTAAGGCAAAAGAGACTGCTGGACATAGAACATATAGGGGGATAAAGAGAAGCATTCATAGCAAGGAAAAAAAGCAAAAGACCAGAGGGTGACACAGACCTTGTTAGCACATCTTTACTGTTAAATCAGTAGACCAGGATCTGGGGTTTGGAGGAGACATCAGAACTACTGGACTGCGGGGCTCCTCTGCTCTAAGGGAAACTTTATTTTCCCAGGAGGTGTACGGGCCAATATTTACCTTGGAACCACAGGGTGGCTGTGCTCTTTGCAGAGTATGTACATGTTTTACATTATATGCATGAGTGTTGGATGATAGTGAAACCTAATACATTTGGGACCTGATACCATCATCCTTCATGAAAGCAAAATATTTTCCCACTCTAGAAATCAAGTTGGAAAACCTCTCTCACAGTTGGTTTGGATTTTAAAGTCACAGTAATGGCTGCAAAGATGGACTGTTGGTCCAGATAAGACTGGAGCCAACCTAACACCTCATTGCAGGGTTGGTCCCTCTTCAAAGTCCTGTTAAGCATGTGGGTGGTGTTAACAGCATCCTTCTGGCAAGTAAAATGGACCAAGAGAACGGCCTAATGGTTAGAGAAAACCTAGATGGTACAACAAGGAATGCAGCGGCCGGACCAGCCACATGAGACTGTTGGGGGCCAGCATGACGGCTCTCTCAGAGTGTGAGATATTTGGGGTTTGGCAGATCCTGAGAAGCCAGCTGCCAAGCTCCACTGCCCCCTGTCCCCCTGGTGTATTTCAAAGGAAATTAAATCCACATGTTTCTGATTTGCTGACACTTACAGCTCATCCAAAGGTGGTTTTGCAAGAGTGGTTTGGACACGAGAAGCCTAGAGAAACTTTAATTATTATTGCTTTTTCTCATTTTGAAATGCAGACCTGTGCGCTCCCATAATAAATGCCAGGCCTACACAATCAGAGCCCAGTTTTGCCTTCTCAAAACTTTTCGTCCTGGGCCCACCAGAGACAGAGAATTGAAGTCAACTAGAGAAGACAAACACTGACTTTAATATCCAATCTAGAAATTCACCTCGAAAATGGTCGCTCTGAATGGCCCCTTTTGACTGAGCTGTACCTAGACCTGCCAAGGCTAGAATTCAAAAATATAATATGCCCAGCATGGACTGAGTCCATAGATTCCATTATTGCCTGAGACTCTGGCCAAGAGGATGGAAACCTATATTCAAGATGGCATCCATGGTAGGTTCTGGGGACCTGGGTCCAAGGACATGGGGCAAGAGGCCTCAAGGACAAGAGGCCATCACAGAGGTGTTCTTTGGAATGTTCTCAAATGTCCTGCCGTGTCCCTGAATGAAACTTAGACAAGCAGCAATCCAGTTTTGCTTCAGGGCAACCGAATCATGTTATACACTTGGAAAGAATGAGCGCTCTGGATGTGACATGTGACCCCTACAAGTCCAGTCACATGAAAACTATTGGCCAGAGAGATCAGGGACCAAGGGTCCCCGTCTTCTGAACCAGGGATTAACATTTTTGGTTTCTCCCATCCCAAACTGGGACATTTTTGAGAATGAAAGGGGGCACTATTAATAATTTTGCAGGGTCAACAGGCATAAGCCAGGACTGTCCCAGGCGTGCAGTCTGGCACGTATGGCCACCGTCCACGGTGAGGCTCACTGCCCAGTCTTTCCCATGAAAGGACGCGTGTACCTTCACCTTCAGATCCCTCTTTGTTTGTGTTCCCAGCGAGGCCGGTCTGTTTTATACACAGACGCAGCGATACTGAGGGATTAGCTGTATTCCGGCTGCAGTTAATTCACTGTTTTCAGTTCCCAAATGCAAGCCCCATCTCAGCAATTAATTTGGCCAGATGAAGTCAGGCTCTCCTACACCTGTTCCCCTGTTTAATTAGGCTCTAATCTTCCCGAGGGAACTGGAGGCACCGGGGAACATCACCTAAGCCGTAGATTAGGAGGGCAGCGTCAGACACCCTGCCGTCACCATAATGCACAGGCGACACCCCTGAAACAGCTCCAGCCCTTCAGTCTAGAAATTCGCCCTGACAACTGTGATCCCCCAGCATGGCTGGGGAAACGATCCCTTCTTTTGTTACAGATTCCCTTTCATCTCCTCCCAAGGGGAGGAAGTGTTCCCAGTGATGCTTCTCTCTGAGGTAATTGTTGGACCGGAGTCACCAGTTAAGGCTGCCTATCTAATTAACAGAGTCTGTTATGATTTTCAGGATAATGAGGTGGGAAACAAAGACATCAATTTTTTTCCGTTCGTGATGTTTTGGCCCCTTTTCTTCCTTTTGGAAGATGACCTGACATTAATGAGAAACGAGTACTTATTGTTGGGGTGCAAACAGAGAGATAAATGACATCGGTAATTAAGTCTCAATCCCTCTTTGGTACACAGAGCGATTTGTCAGGCAATATTACTCAATTAATTAATTCCATTAGAGCTACCACATTTTCCCCAATCCAGCCATTCCACCATCAGCAAGGACAATGGTATGGTACAAAAATAGAATGGTTAATAAATGCACAGTGAACTTCCAAAAGAAAGTATTTTAGCCACCCCAGGAAACCTAGCCAGAAGCATCTGATTTGAGAACGTGTAAAGTGCTCCCAGCCAGCCATGCACCTCTTCCTATCAGGGACTGAACAACATTTGGGTATTTCTGAGCTCAAATGCCTAGAAGGAAAAAGGGGGACATGGGGCTGGTCCAGCTCATCTTATTATGCTATATCAGCGGTCACTGTCAAGGCCTCTGGTCAGCTGCCTGTCTGTGGCCAGAGAGGGAACAGGATGACATGAAGTGTGGCTGTTAAGGGCCAATTCAAAGGGCAACACGATTGGAAGGAAGGCTTCCAGAATGGCAGCTCCCAAACGGTGTGGTCAGTTTTCTGTCTGCTTTCTTTCCTCTCTTTTGTCAGAGGAGAACCCTGACCCTCTCCCTGCCCATCCGTCTCTCACTGCTCACAGCTCAAGTTAATTCTGCCTCCACTGACGCTCGCGTTAATAAAAAACAAACCCATGTTCTCTTCTATTCCTTTCCTCTTTCCACTTTCCTTTTCAATGCTTGCCAACTTGTCTCAGAATCCTTTACCTCCTTCTTAGTGAGAAATATGACTGCAGAAAAAGATAAAGTGACAGTCCAGAACCACATTTAAGAAAAATCTAACAAAATGGATTAGTATCATGACATTCTAAAGAGAAAGGCAACCCCTCCTTCATAAACTTACAAACACCCATTTACCTCTTTATGTCTCCAAATCAACCTTTCCTTCCACCACTAATGTTAGCATAAATAAAACACTATCCCTGTGTATCATTCATTGCTTTATTTTGCGTTGATTGCTTTCCAGCCCTATGGGAGCACTGCGATCTGCTCTACCTCATTGCGATGCAGCAGTATTTCAGCTGGATTCAGGATGAAATATGCCTTTGTGTGCGGTTGTGGGAACCTACCTCTCATTCCCAGGAAAACAGCTCACTTCCAAGGTCCAGAACATAGTCTGTTTGTAAAGTGGGTAGCTACTACCTATACGGTCCGAGCCCCTTTCTCATCTCTTGGCTATTCAAGGTTTCTTTTGTTCTCTAAGCCTATTCTCTGGGCAGGGGTGTGAAATCAACAGGGAAGGCCACCAAATCTCAAAAGCCAGGCTGGGAAGGAAAACGCCCAGGGCAGGGGTTTTCAAACTTGAGCCAGCAGCAGAATCACCTGGAAGGCTTGTCTGAACAGACTGCTGGGGTGGGATCCAAAAGTTGGCATTTCTAACCTCCCTCCTGTGGAAAATTTGCTTTCAGAAAAAGACGGTCTCACCCAGGGATCACCCTTTGAGAGCTACTGGACTAGATCATGCAGGTACAGAGAGGTACAGGGAGGTAACTAGGTTTTCAGAATCCTGAGCATCTAGCCAACAACTTGGTTGATGCAAAGGCTGCGTTTCCCTTTGCATCAGCCAGGCGTGGATCATGACAGAAGCAAAGAAGCCATCCCTGCCTGAGTCTCCCCCACCTTTACCTGTAGACAGAGACCACGCCTGGAGTGAGATCAACAATTTCCCTGGAATAGGCCAGCATCACTTGCGGTTTTATAATTAGATCTAGAAATAGTGCCGAAGTCTGCTGAGACTGTGGGATTTCTGAATGTTTGTGAAAATGCTCTGGTTTGTTTGCCTCTCTGCTTCTCCTCGGTGTCACACGTGCAGAAGTTCAACAGGCTGGAAAGTCTTGGGGATCTTCTGCTGTTCTTCGTGGAAAACTCAGAAACTCATAAACCCGTTAGAGCTGGATGGGGACCTGACCACTCTCACTCTTCATGCTGTGATTCCAATGGTCATCGGGGCCAGCGCTTCCCAAACACCTCTTTGAACCCCCTTCACAGAGATGGACAACCCTGCCAGTCCCTTAACAACTCATCTTCATGTCTTCATCCTTGTATATTGCTTTAGCATCTTAGCTGGGATTCCTCACAGAAAGCAGAGCCTATGACAAGGGCTTTTGTAAAGGAAAGTTATTTTGGAGAGTGAGCCCAGCAGACAGGAGTCACGGGCAGGAGGAGGAGAGGGCGGCCACGTGATTCATCACGTCTCCAGTGAAGACCCTCTAGGAAGCTGTGTCCAATGAACATCAGAATTTTCAGCCTGAGGGAAGAGAGAGGGAAGCATTAACCCACAGGCTCCCTTTCCCTTTTGGAGGGTTGTCCCATGAAGTGTTGACTCCCTCACAACGTCCAGGTTGCACACCCATGTATACCAGGATACTGTCCCAGGAAAGCCCAGGGCTCAAAGAGAGACACAATGGGTAGCTGCAGTACTGTGCCATCTGGTTACAGCTGCACAAAGCCGGTTGCCCAGCCATGCCTGGCATCAAAGGTGGGCCAGAAGGTGAGAGACACGCACAGAAGATGTCCAAGATGGTGTTTTATGAAAAAGAAACTGGGGGGTAAAAAAATATTTATATTTCATCTACATATGTTATAAATCTGATATTAATATACTCTTTAATATCCTACACATTCGAACATTTAATCAATGTGAGGGTTAACATCGAATTTCAGAAGTAAGTGTCTAAAACCCATAAAACTTACAATGTGTCTACATGCCCTATTTCTAGAAACTTCTACCATTCCTGTACCCTAAGGTCACTAGCAAACACTGACCAGACATAAACTTTATGATAACCATTTTAAGGCCATCAGATACAGGGAGAAAGTCAATAAAAGAGTTATTCTGTAATAACTATTTGGTGTTCGTGTTAAAATACAGGTTTGGGGCATCAAAAATTGCTTGCATGACCTCATGTCTGAAATTTTTATATTTGGTGCTTAAAAAAAATCAACTAGCTGCTATTTATAATCACTTTTGTACAATCATTTGTTCCTAATAAATGAAAACCAAATTTAGACATAATTGTCACTGTCTTTTTTTTTCTCCAACACTAAGTTTCTGAAGTCCAGGGGCCTCTTCAAAAGGACAGATTTCTGACGAGAAAAAGACCATCTTCAGATAAAGTGAGCATGAACATCAAGCAATTTACTGGATTATTAACATGAATCTCAGCATCTGTGCTGCTGACGCTTCTAGTCTTTAACAAATGGGCCATTCAGGATACGGACCCAGGAACATATGGCGAAGGAGAAAGGCTTTTTGAAGCTGGACGTCGGCGACAAGCGCTGCGGCTCAGCTGTCGGGGAAATCGGCCGAGGGCAAGCCCGCGCATGCTCAGCGCAGCTGCCCGCCCCTCCGCGCATGTGTACCTGACGCCCACTCCGGGGCTCCAGCATCGTTCTGAGATGAAAAATAGAAGTCTATAAATTCTAACAACTTTCTGTCATTGAAATTTTTCAAAAATATACAAAAGTGCTAGAATAATGGGCCTGCATATACCTCACCCAGCTCAATTATGGCCAATCGTCAATACGGTTCTTTCTTTTCTTTTTCTTTTTTTTTTTTTTTTTTTATCCTCTTTAACAGGCATCGTTTTTTGCTTCTAAAGACAGGAAACCCGGGGGAATTTTCGTGACCCCCTGACGGTTTGTGACCTGCTGGTTCTTTGGTTCACTGACCTTGTTCAATCCTCTCTTTATACAAGGGAATGCTCTGCTTCTCTCATTCTCTCTGGCTATCTCTCACGCTTGCAGCCAATTAAGTGGACTCTGTCTATGATTTCAGCAATGGTGACATATAATCCCAGTGTTAAAGGATGGAATTTTCCAATGCAAGGAGCAGCAGAAAACGAACAGAGGAAACATTGCCATGAGCAAAGGCTTCTCAACACAGTATCTCTGACTGTGCTGCAAAGCAACCCAGCGTTTGGATGAAAAGTGAAAAAAAAAAAAATCTGACAATGGAGCGATTGTTCTCCCTCCACAAGTGATCCGTACTATTTCTAACCCTTTCATGAGCTGTGCTGGCAACAGGCAGACATGGCTTAGGTCTTCCTCAAGTGGTCGGCAACCCCAAAGGCAAAGGGAAGAGAGACCTGTGTTTCCAGGAGACCAAGATCCCACACCAGGATTGCAGCCGCCAGAACCTTTCCTCACCAAACAAAGAGCAGGGCAGCTACTCACCTCCTCTCATCTGTTCAGGAGGAACCCAAACCCAGCCACATGGATCTGCTTCTTGATTTTTGTCCTACCGCTTGCCTACTACTAGAAAAACAACCAAGGTCTGCCAAGAATCTGCAATCTTCTAAATCTCTAAATAATGACTAGCCTATCCAGTGTTTCCATCCAAGGAATTGTTGGTCCCTATACAAGAAAACCCTTTGGGGTGAGAGTCAGGAGTCCAAGAAAGGCATGTGGTTATTTTTTGCTACAATTTGGAAAGAAAGGGAAATCTATTTTTGACATCGGCTATTCAGCTTTCCAATCACATCAGCCCGTAAAACATACCTAATTGAACTGTTGATTCCAAATTGTACTTAACTTTAAGGCTTTTTGGTTTTCTAGTGTGCTTCAAACACACACACACACACACACACACATACACTTTCACTTACATTCTCTTGCCTTGGCAAAAGTTTTGGAGTAAGTTAGGGAAATTAATGCTCCTGTTTCCATCTGACAACTTTCATCTTTAAACAAAATAATAATAAACAGGAGTGATCAAGTGGAGAGTTCATTGCTTTGTTCAGATGACGATGCTAAGACTAGTCGTGGCATTTGGTACAATTAGTCATTAAAGAAGGAGCGATGTGCTCACGGCTTATGAGGGAAAAATGAGATGCAAAGGGATAAGGGGAGAAGAAGGGACTCCTACAGGGGTTTTGGAATATTCCAGCAGGTGTGTGAGTCATTACATGTCAACCCTGAACTGAAGGCAGAGATCAAACATGAAGTTCACCAAGGGCTTGTGAAAACTAATAAGGGTTGTAATATTGCTGACAACTTAATCAAACCCGTTTGCATACAGACTCGAAAATGATTTCTCCACGTGGGGGCCCCTTGCTGGAAGGGAAAGCCAAAAACACGTGTTTCATTGTTTTAAAGAGAAAGCATATATGTATTTCTCATAGTCATGAAAGCATTTGCAACCCAGAATTCAGCTTGTCTTTTAGCTGAAAAACAGAAAGCCACACCAAAACGATTCCTAACATGAAAGAATGGAGTTAGTTTTGCCTTCAACTCATGTCAAAGGCAAAAAAAATTACTCTCTTCTACAGAGATGTTGGTTTGTGTTGCTTCTCCAAAATAAAATAAAATCACAAAATGAAAGCATTCCCTGCCCTTCTCACCTCGGCTTTATCAGCCACCCACCTTCTCTGAACCCCTGGAGAATTTGGGGGACTCTCACTCACGCCCCCACCATATCGTCCTCTCGCCATTTGTGGACAAGCCCCCTCAGCGCTGACAGCCAGCTGGATCTATCACTGCAGCCCCCACAGGGCTTTAAGTAGGACCTTAGTGTTGTTGAGTGGTTCAGCGCCTTTAGTAATGGTAGGATTTAAGTCATAGCTATCAAATTCACCTCTTTTATGAAAATAGGAGAGACGGAAGTGAAAGAAAATAAAAATCACAGCTGGAGGTTTGGTATCAAGCTTTATTAGACGTGGAAATAGTAATACACATATTAAGCTAAAAAGAAACCGAGTTAGAACCCCTATCGGGTGACCAGCCTTGCCAGTGTGCCTGGGACTGCTGGGTTTAGGACTGAAGTTTCCACACCCCAGGAGACCCTTCTGTCCTGAGCAAATTGAGACAGTTGCAGGGATCACTCTGTAAGTTCTCAGTGACTCTCAGAGACCGAGATCCAAATGTTGACTTCGCTGGAATTCAGCAAGATCTGAGAGAGCTCATCAAAAGTGCACAATACACCCTATCTCCACCCCACTGTGAGTCTCCATCTCAGCCCCCTATTTATTTCCTTTGTTCCACTTTAAAAATGTGATTATTTTTCTGTTTATTACTTACTATCTGTTCTCCTTACTCAGTGTGAGCTCCATGTTGTCAAGGGAGTCATCTAACCTGTCTCCCACTGTAGCCCTGGAACATTCCCTGGCAAACAGAGGACATTCAAGAAACAGGTCTTAGGAGCAGAAATCTCCCCCCCCCAAATCATGGACTCCAACAGAATTGCTGTACTTTGCTGATTCTGAGATACACAGTTTTATGAAGTTTAACATCTCTGCAATCCAGATGCATCTCAATCAGTGTTGTCTTTCAAAAGCCATCAGCCAAGTGGTGTCATGACGTGGTCATTGGCTTTGCCACGCATGTACTTAGTGGTAGATGCTCACACTGTCCTCCCTTCAGCTGAGGTATGTGTGTCTATTACTTTGACCTGTGAGCTTAACTGCCATTTAGAATGGCCTCCAAAAAATTTCACTATGATTCAGCATTGAAATGACAAGCTATTTCATACTCACAAAGGCACAGAAGCCAGGCAGCAGGATGTAAATGTGATATGAGTGAAGAGTATTTGTCACAAAGGAATGATCGCAAGTCCACATCTTCTTGCAAAGAAACAACCAAGTGCCTTAGACACCTCAGAATGGAAGATAGCCACGAAGTCAGGCAAGCTGTGTTACTTTCCTTTACCAAAATATCTGTTTCACCGCCAGCTCTCACAGAGATGAAGATTAATTTCAAAGGAATCTGATGTGATTGATTCATATGTCGCTCAGGACTGTTGTTAGAGGCACCTGTCACAGTCTATTGGAAGTGTTTTTCCTTTTTTATCAGTGCATAAAATAATGGTAGATCTTACAATCAATAGCATCTTAGTCTTGACTTAATGGAAC